AACTGTAAAACGTTTGCAGTTTAAACTGTAATACTGTAATACAGATTAATTTGCAGAGCAGATATCCTACAGCTGAGCCGCAGTTTTTCAAACCGTTACCAGACCTGAGCCGAGCTGTTCTTGTCTTACAGCCATGGCTCGTTTTGCCGCCGTTCTCTGCCTCGCGCTAGTGCTGGCGCTGGTGGCCCTCTCCCAGGCCGACCCACAGCCCCACGAGGGCCACGGCCACGGGGAACCGGTCTTGGGGGCCGACCCTTGCACCTGGGGACCCAGCCACTGGTGCGCGAGTAAAGTCAACGCCAAGGGGTGCAAGATGACGTCCTGGTGCACGGAGAAGAAGATCCTCGCTTTCCAGTGAGCCGGCGCACCTCCTACTAATTGATCATTTCTCTGTTTTGACCTTCTTGAAACTTTTGAAAAACAGGTGCATCAAGGAATGGATTGTAAAGGCAAATTATACTGTGCAATGATCAGTTCTCGATGTTTTAATTTTTTAGTAGGCATGTGAAGACTGCAAAAATCAAACTCCCACGTTTACAGAATTTCGTTTGTAATTATGTAAACAGGATTCTGCTTGGGAAAAATTGGTGGTGATAAGCGCAATAAAAGGTCCTCGTTCCCCTTCCACACACTCTGTCCCCCGCCGCTGGCCGCTTTGATTTGGGCCGTTCGGGGCGCGGCGCCGCTGCACGGTGTGGCCCACATACACGCGAGGAGCAGGAGCAGTCCCCCAGGAAATCAGCGCGGAGCCAGGACCGGCCGGGCGGGCTATGGGGCCGCGGGCGGACCGGGTGGAGACACTGTACGCGTCCGACAATGAGCTGGGGCCGCGAGGGCGGCGCAGCGACTAACTGGGGGTCTAGGGGTGCAGTCGGAAAACTGTTCCGACGGGCGCGAAAAGATGCATTTTTTTTGCCCTCAAGGGGCCCCAAAAGATACCCTTTTGCCTTCAAGGGGCCCCAAAAGATAGTTTTTTGCCTGGAGCCCGGTAGGGGTTTCCCACCTATAGCCAAACAAACCGGGCCAGTCCGTGGGTGGGGTGGCGCGGCCGCTACGTCATGCGCGAAGGTCATGATGTGCTTCGTGGAGGAAATCACTTGTGTTTCTAGGGCACATCAAAGCGCGTGCTGATGACGACGTACTAACTTGTAATTAGGAGCGTGAGTAATCACTTTACAATGAGTTTGAAACTTTACGATATGACTTCGTATAACTAACGAGATTTATCATGGATTCTTTTCCCGCGTAAGCCTGGTACACCTATTTCTTAATGTTATTCAATCGCTTCATAGCCAATAGAAAGTGGGGAAAGCATTAAAACCATATACGTGCGTGTGAGCGGAACAACTGCGTGATTACAGAGGGCTGTCGGCAATTATTGCACAGTGAAGGAAGCGGTGCAGAAAATTCTGTCCGCTGCAACAGATGAGGCAAATGCCGAGGCAAACGCTGAATCGAGCGCGGGCATGGTTTTGTTGGGGTCGGTTTTGTTTTTCGTTTTCTAGTTTGCCTGCCCTCCACCCACAACCCGTGGAGGTAGAGCGACGTAAAGGCAGTTGGGGATGGCGCCGCCGCGGCTTTCGCACGGAACAGCCAACTTGACAAACCGTGTGCGGGCGCAGATTTACTTGTTTCACGACTGCGCGACTCCGCGCCACGCCGCGCACGCCCGCAAGCCCACTTTACAGGACTACACGCTCGGCTGCCGCCGCGCGGCGGAAAGTGGAAAGCAAGACAAACAAAACGAAAGGGAAAGCGGAGATTGGAAGCTAGTTCACGGCCTCAATGGAGGTGATGCTGGAAAGGTTTTGGAAGTAGACCCGCGGGGGGAGCCTGCTCACGTGAACGCGGTGAGCTGTGGAGGGAAGAGGCACAGCGGGCTAAAAATTATGATTCAAATGAATTCGGCTTCTTATTTCCCGACAATTTGCGCGCAGGAAAAACAAAGTTTCCGTTCGCCGAAGCGACGGGCCAGGGGCTAGGTAATTTGTTCAGTTTAACGATTCTATTTTTCATTCGCATACCTTCTCCCCTCTCTTCTGCCTGTTTTTATTCCTGTTTCTGTTTCAATTTTAAACTCGGCGCTCCGCAGTGGCTTTTGAAAGTTCTGCAGGCATAGCTGCTTGCCCGTCTCTCCAGCCTGTAATACAGAGCACGGTGTAAACGGAAACAGGAAAGGCATGAGATGCTACTAGTAGCCAGCCAGTCTGTACGAGAAAAACAAATAGGGAGGGGGTGCACGGTGTTGCACAATTTGCTGAAGCTATAAATGCCGAATTGCGACAGGTATACCGGCGATACGAAGGCAGGAGCAGAATCTGTGCTGGTAAGGAGGGGGAGGACGATGCGAACTCCACCTCGACCCATCCTATGACGGCCCTACCTCTTCTTCCAGTTTGAATAGCGCCTGCCACGCGCTGGGTAGGCTGACCCGCCGAGCAACTGCGTGAAGCCGGCGGCCAGCCCAGGGCGCCCGAGTAGGGGAGGGGGGAGGCGGGGATCGGGCGGGCGTGAGACGCCTGACTCCGCAGGCGGGGAGGGGCGAGGAGGGACGGGGTGAGGGCGGCAGTGTGTACACAGGTCTGCTGCTGCTGAGCGGGACCGCGCACTGGGAAGAAGTGGTTCGGCTTGATCGTTAATTGCAGTATTTCGCTCCATTTTG